AATTAGAACTATTCGACTTGAGAAAAAGTTAATTCGGTTAAGTTAGATTCAAGATATTGAAGTTTAAACAAATTGTCATTTATTAGTTTTTTTTATTAAATATAATTTGGATGGGCGTAGTCTCGTGTATCTAGGATGATTATTAAAAAAAAAAAAAACCCCTTTTTTTAATTGATTAGATTTGTATTTGAATTATAAAGCTCATCTCATTGTTATCCATGGGGATTAGAATTATAAGTTTCACTAGGAAACCAATTCTATACAGACCCATTCACTATATTCACGTCTCCTTGTTGCAATGAAATTCAGTTGATATACTAGGTTATAAGTCCTATAAATACTCCCATGAGTCAAGATAATTTTTCACCACGAATATATTATATATACACGGCCAACGAAATCCAAAAGCTAGAGAGAGAATCCTACAATATCACTATATAATATATTTTATTCATACGAGATAGAGAGAGGAAAAGAATACGGTGTCACGTGCATTAATTACAATCCATTACAACTTTTCAAATCTATCAAGGTAAGATATTTTTGTGCGAGTAGTTTGTTTTCTTATGCTTTTATGTATTTAATTAAATATGTATGAATTGTAAGTGGACCTTCGGGTTCTGCAGAAAGAGATATGAAATCCTACTGAAATTTAAGAGGACCTAAGATAGATGTGTCACTTGGTAACCGATATATTTTATAAGAGAAGAGTGGTATGAAGTGTATAATTTATTGTTATATACTTGCGTATGAAAATTGCAAGTATCTTAGTAGGCATTTTAAAATACTCACTCTTATAATAAGTTTACAAGTTAAATCGGGTTGATTGGAACTATGGCAAGATGGTGATGTAGGCTGTCAAGAGGATTTGAAGGAATAAAAATATGAATTTTTTTTTATCTCCCATTTTATTAGTTTGTTTTTGTTCAAAGACATGTTTATTAATTAGTTAAATGATTATGTTTAATTTTTTTTCAAACTCAAATTCCACATTTTAATTGATATTTATGGTTGAAAATAAAAGAATTATTTTTATATATGTCGGTTCCACATTTAACGTGAAGAAAGTTGAATTTTTTATAAAACTCTAATGTTCATAAAAATCTGGAGTGTTAAACAAAAAGCAAAAGAAGAAATGAGATTCAATTTGTGGCCGAGAATACAAAGATAAATGGAGAGTGATATAGCTGTGTTAAAAGAAATGGAAAGTTAGATAGTTGCATGAGAGTAGAAGCAAATCAGCCTACGGGTTTTCAATGGCCGGAGTAAAAAAAATGTTTGCACGCAACCCTATGAACAGTGCCAAAATCAAGTCATTGTTTTAATGTATAGGGCAATATATTTGAAAATAATTTAAATTATGATAATAAATATTATAACTCTACAAAATAATATAAGAAGTGCAAAAATAGATAATTTAGGATTTTAATTAATGAACAAGTATTATGGTTTACGAGTTCATCATAGTTATCCCTCTAATTTCAATTACCAAATTTCAACGGTACTCAATTATGTGTATCATGTCGAGTTCTTCTAATCAAAATTTATTTACATCTCTCGAATTTAAATCAATCTTATTCAATTAAGTTAACTCACTATATCTTTTTTAAATCATGATAAGTCTTAATTAAGAGTATACAGTCACAAAAATATTCAATTAATGACTGCAAACTTAGTGAAGATATATCTTTTACATAAATTTCAATTTTTACTATGAGGTCTAAAATAATAACTCACCTCTCGAATCCTTCCCACTTACCAATCAATGAAACAATGTCAAATTGTTTTAAAGCATGAATAATAAAAGTAAAAATAATACACAAATATTAACTTGAGATCAAAGCATAGTAAATAAAATTAAAGTTTCAAAACTATAATATAATATCTCATCCAAACTATTGATTTAGTTGCACATTATAGGAAAAGAGAGCATATGGAGCATTTGAAGTACTTCGCCGCTCTTTTAGTAAGAACACAATCTTGAAATCCTAGCTTTTTCTTTTCTTCTCTCTTTTATATTCTCTTTGTTTTACTCGTGACTCTCCATTAGGGATGTCAATTTGACTCGTCGGTTTGAATGACATGTGACTCGGCCCAAAAAGGTTCGAGCGGACTCAGCTCACTACTCGTCAAGGATCGTTGGAACTGAACCTCATTTTCAAGTGTTGGCCCGAGCTCGAGCCGAGTTGTCACACTAACACGGGCCAATCCGTGTATAGAGCCTTTGAAAAGGTAGCTTTAAAGGCAGTTGCCTTAAAAAAAGTAATTAAAATTTTGGGGAAAACAAGAGCCAGCTCTACTTTGGCTCGGCTTGACTCAGGCAAATAAAGCTCGACCCATTTTTACCCGAGCCATGCTCAAACCGTGAACTTTGACTTGTTTACATCCCCACTCTTTATTGTGTCCTCTTTGTTTTTATCTAGAATATATCTGTCTATAGTGATAGACCCATCTCAAAAGTCATGCCTCAAAAAGAACCTAAAATAACCTCGAATAAAACAAAAAGAAACCAAACTTTTCAATGTAGGAAAACTGTGACACAACCACGTCCAACAAGGAGCTTGGGCTCCAATCGCGCTAGTTGTGGTTGATTACCATGATCGGATCATGGAATCCATTGATCACTTCTAACTTTGGTTGAGCTATGGTTTGCAAATAGCAGCCTCCCCCCCCCCCCAAACTCTCCAATTTTTACAATTTGGTACCTATTTTAAGTTTCTCAAATGATTTTGGGTTTTTATACATATCTTCAATATCGATCTCACAACTTCCAAAACCTTATACGTTGATCCCCAAACATCCATCATAGCCCAAAATTGTCCTCAAGTTTTGAAACTATACAAATCAGTCCTCATACTTCTAATAAGTTCACTAAAAATTACAGTCTCATATCCCACATTAATATTACAATTCGGCTTTGCTGCTAGGAAGGAATTGACACCCTCCCTAGCGTCTCCCTCACAATAGGGGGAGGGAAGCAAGTATTTTTTGGGTTTTTTTTTTTTATTCACATGGTTCTCACTCCATGTGAGTATCTGTCAACAAAGGTGACAATTTCTTTCTGGCAAAGGAGTATATTTCTTAATATTAAGATTTCAATCGATATCTCAAAAGCAAAATCTTTCTCAAGCATCATGAGAAGACAACTAAATCTACATTAACTAAATAACAGCATTGTTTACCTCTTATAGCTAGCTCTCTAATTTCTCCTTTCAAATATAAAAAGTAACATTATCAAACTACTAAATATAGACAGATTCTTCTAAAACAAGCTTAAATTTTCAAAACACAACACAATATTTGTTGACTTTCCCAGATTAAGATTACAAATATAATCCAAAAACTAAAAATGAAGATTACCACGATGCTTTTATAGTGAACAGCCACATTGAGAAAATTTTCTGAAACAAAAATCCATCTGCATCAAAGTAATATAACCGAGTGAGATCTCTTCAATCAAAACCCTCATTCTTGAAAACATTTCCAGTGACAGCCAAAATATCTGCATTACAAGTAATTCTCATAAGCCAATTTTCAATTTTGTAATATTTGAAAGTGCTACTTTTGCTTGGGGCAATCTCTATTAAAAGGACAATAATCGGAGTTAGACATCAAGAATGTTTTCTTTGTTAATCATTTGACATGAGAACAAACTTCAAACGATATATTCCTTACAAGTGACGTGAAACTATGTGGGACAATCACCGCAAAAGTGCATTGGAGATGAGAAATGGAGTAATAACTTGGACTATTGGGACAAGAAATACATAGAATCATCTTTAACTCCTAAGATGGAAGGTTATAATCAACAAAAGACTAGGGATATCAATGCTGAACAACTACATAATGCATATCATTCTCTTCTGCAGCTAAGTCAATTCTAACTATTTCTGTATAACAACAAGAGTGCAATTACTCAAACAAGAAGCTAATAGCTCAGAGAACATAACTTACTCATATTAAAAGATTTCCAACCACACGATTCTTTCTAAATCATCAAAGCAAACTGTAAAATAAGAAAGAAAATTACCAGGACTTTCTAATTATGTGCTTGCAATTATTAAATTAATTGGCATTTAGAAAGATCGTGTGCAATGAATGACCACCACACAGAAAGCCAGAGTAGTCCAAACAATAATTCTTTGTCAATTGAAAATAACATTAAGGGGAATGACAGTAAGATATTCAATAAACCTACATTCTTCACCCAATTGTTACAATAGAAACCTGAAAAAATGGAACCCATTTCTTGATTCCTCGACTTTCAATTCAAATTTTCCACCAGAAAAATCCAAGTTCTTATCTTTTACCTAAAATTCAAGAATTTTAGAAATTTCTTCCTGAAAAAACATTGACTATCAATTTGTCAATTTCAGCAAAATGGTCAAAGTGGGAACTATAGTAAGAGAAAACAGATGAATGCCTAGGCTTAACTTTGGCAAGCAACAAAGCCACACTTGAAGTTAACATTTACCAAATTCACGTTTTCATGTGTCAAGAAACAAAATAATAAAAGCAAGTCCCTGAATTAAAAATTTCTTTACACTCTATTCCATGAAACCAAATTCTCTACCAGAATAAAAGCATGTTAGACGAGGGGCGGAGCCAATATATCTACCCGCACTGGACTTTTGGCCCCAAAATATTTTTTTTTGGTTGTTTAACCCAGTAACCCAATTATCTATCTAGCCCAAAGAGAGAAGCCCAATTGTGCAATGCCATGACCCGTTTTAAACCCATTCATATCAAAATTCAATTGAATCAATTGTTGACCCAAACCCATTCATTCATTTCAAATTTTCAACCCTTCGTGACTTTGTCTGTGACGACTTCGCATTTCGCCACCCACATTCCTCTCCACCGGTGACAATGCTCGTCGTTTCCTTCCGTCTCTGTCAACCGTCGTCTCCGACAGTCGTCACAGTCCGACCGTCGCTCCCTTTCCCTCTCCGACAATCCATTATTGTACATCTCCTACTCTAGGCTCTCATCTTGATATCTCACATCTCCGACTCAGACTCTACATCCTCAACTCCGTCAAGGTGCCAAGTACCAATGCCAACCGGCCGAGCTAGCAAAAGAAGAAGCCAGATTCCAGAAAGCAAAAGGTGAAGCCCCAAATTTTTTTCCCGTATTTTTTTTGTTATTTCAATTTGTGTAAATTGTAATAATATTTTTTTTGTTTTTAACATATGAAATTAGTACTTTGTTCTTCAATTGCTCGAAGCTGTACAAACTTCTAGTGGACCACCAATTCAATGTTGCCTCTGGGCTCTGGCTCTCTGCGAATCTGTGAAAGTAAGTTCAAGTTGCCTAGAATTTGGAAATAGTATATATTGCATTGTGAAATTGTAAATTGAACTGTGAATTGATTATGTGAAATTGTGAATTGGAATATTGGATTGTGAATTGATTAAGTGAAATTGTGAATTGCACTACACAAATAGTATATATAGGTATTGGTGTATTGTATTATGAATTGATTATGTGAAATTTGTGAAATGCACTGTGAATTGATTATGTAAAATTGTGAATTGCACTGAATTTTGTGAGTTGCTTCCAGTATTTGTGATTCATTTGACAATCTGAATTACTCCTACTCCTAGTAGTAATTGAATGATCAGTGGATGAATGATAGTACAATTGTTTATGTGGAGAAAGATATATTTTTGAAGCTCGATAATGAAATTATTGTACAACGATATCAAAGTATGAAAACTCGTAAGGAATAAGTGTAATATATTAATTATGTCGTTTTTAGTATTGTTGTACTATTTTTTTTATTATCATTAAATTCATGACTAAAAACCTCGACATTCGTCGTCGAAAAAATTTTGCCCGCACTGAACTAAAATCCTGGCTCCACCCCTGTGTCAGACCAAAATATATGAACAAAGTCGCTCGTGTTTTTCTTAGCCTAATCAACATTTAGAAACAAAATAAATGAAACTATAACTGATTAGCAAATATTCAAATTTGCATAGCCTAATAACAGAACAAATGAAAACTCTTCAAGGATTACCTAACCCTTGAGAACTTTCAAAACTAGCTCAGTCTCCTTAACACCAGCGCAAGCTCCTGTATCATAAGTTTTCTCCATTCTGCCTCAATGTGTTGTGCCTTATCACTTCTCCTCATTGTCCAATTCTTCTTGAGCATATCCGAAGAGATTATTCCTCCAATATTTATTTGGAAAGACTGAGGCAATAATGGGTAATTTGATTCCACGTCCACTTCATCTTCTAAGATTTCTTTTTCCACATTTTGCTCTTTTTCTTCCGTGCCCACTCTTTCCCGCTTTAGAGATTTCTCATTTTTCTTGTTTTCAAGACCCTCATTTCCCCAAAGTTTCTCCGAAAGCTTGAAAACTGTAGATTCGTATGCATTAGAGAATTCCAAAGGAGCCCGTTTCTTCCTATTGAAATTTCCAAAAAACTTTTGTTTGAGTCTCCGAAGTTTTTCAGTGACTTGAAGCTTCGTAAACTCCATATGAAGCTTGTCCTTTAACAAATGAAACTCGGTCTTACTTTCATCCCAATGCTTAGACTTAAAATCTATGAGACCTTGAAGCAACGTAATAACGTCCTCGTCAGTGAATATCTGACCCAAGAAAAAATGGGACTTCTTCTCAATTAATTCATTTTGTTGGAGACTATCAACATCAGAAGAAGAGCCATTTTGTTGTTTTGAAGAAGCGTCTTGGGTCGTCTTTCCTTCCTCTTTGCTTTTCGAGTGGGAACTGGAGCCCTCTTCAACAGATTCTTTGCTCTCTCCCTGAGAAATTTCAGCTTCTTTGTCATTTGAAAACATTAGTACTGATTTTTCAAGAAAATCTTTTGATTTCCTTCTTCTCTTTTGCGATTTGCGCTCCATTGATGATAGCAGACCTTTACTCTCTGGGAATTTCACGTTTTTTTTCTTTTTTTAATCAAACATCTCGTGAATTTTTATTAAAATCTCCTCAGAATTTAATTTTAATCGCGGGTTCTTGACCCTTATTTGAACCACATTATTTTGCGAAAAAATGCATTTCTAATGGTGTGTTAATGAAAATTTTGAGGTTAAAAAATAAGAAAGATTTTGAATTTGGATGTAATATTATTTTATTGAAAAATGTGATTGAAATAATATCAAATCACTGTATAAGAATGTATTTTTTTTTCAAATAATGTTGATTAGACAGGACCTAATTTATATAGTTTTCGTATTCAATTATTTCATATTTGGTGAAAATTCTCAATCATTTATATTTTTGAATTTATTTTCAACTACGAATTTTTTTTTAATAATAAAATTTGCACATTTTCCATAACTTTTTCTTTCCCACTTTTTAATCACATTCTTAAAATAATAACAACAACAACAACCTTTTTACTTATGTTCTTGACTTGATTGAGAAAATATTTCATTATTAATTCTTGTTTGGTATGGACATACGTGCTTGGATACTCATGTTTTATTTTTTGTTTTTGTTTATTTATTAACAAAGACATTTTTTTTAAGCCTATATGCAATTCTCATTCTCTAAAAAGTCATTTTTCTTGTAATCATATTCTTCCTATAAAATAATTTTATGTATAAATCTTAAACATTCTCTAAAATGAGGTTCAAACAAGCCTTAAATATAAATGTTTTCGTTCTACGTTAATGTAATAAATAGACATTATAGTTAGCCCGATTTGGTGACATTTAATTGTAAAAAATTATGTTTTCATTAGTGTTTTTTTTTTTTTTTTTTAAAGAAAGTGCGATTAAAATGTAGGGGAAAAAATTAGGAAATTTTTTTTATGTTTATGTGTGAAATATTTTATTTTATGAAATTGTAGTTAAAAATGAGTGTGAGATAAATTGAAGGTGGGGCATAATTTTATTTTCAATAGATTACGTCTATAATTCAGATTTCATCTGTTTTATTAACATTAATGCTCTTAGTTAACTACAAAAGTGGTGCACAATTTGCTAATTTTGTTTGGTTTCCATTATTCACAAAGCTGTACAAAGAAAGAGACTATTAATTACAATGAAACATGCAATATATTTATTGTTAAAATTAAATTAAATTAGAATTTTAGCCCCTGTTTGATGGTCATTTAAAAAAAATGAGTTTCAAATGGTGGTTTTTTGGATAATGTGTGGATAAAGCGTTTGAAAAAAATTTGAATTTACGCGTAAAATATTTTATTGTATAAATGTTTGGTTAAAAATGAGTATGAAAATTAAAGAGTTTTATTTTAAAGGGATATAAACAGGAACTTAATTAAATATAAATTTATAATGAGCAATAGAAAAAGTTTTTCAAAATTTAGTGACCAAAGTTAGACTATATCGAAGTTTAGCTGCCAAAATTCGATCACCTCAAAGTATAGTGAATAATAGAAGACATTTTTTAATGTTTAGTGACTAAAATTCAACAAAGTGACAGTGAGCCACATGTGCATCTCGTGAGCCACGTTATAAATACAATACATTCTTTAAGCCTATGTTTGAGCTTTGTCCTTTAACAAGTCATTTTTCTCTTATTTATATTCTCCCTCTAAAATAATTTTACATATTAATTTTAAAATTTTCCTTAGATATTAACAACACATTTTTTAAAAAATCATTATTATGAAATCAAATCTCCCAATAAAATGAGTTTCAAACAAACCCTAAATATAAATGACTTCAATCTACATTAATGTAATAAATAGACATTATAATTAGCCCAGTTTGGTGACCTTTAACTGTAAATAACTATGTTTTGAATAGTATTTTTTAGAGAAATGTGATAAAAAAATGAAAAAAGTTTTAAGTTTATGTGTAAAATATTTTATTGTATAAATTTATACTTAAAAATAAATCTGAAAAATAAAAATAAATTAAAGGCTTCCGAATAGGGCATTATTTTATTTTCAATAGATTACGTCTGTAATTCAAATTTCATTTGTAACGTTAACATTAATGCTCTTAGTTAAGTACAAAAGTGAATGCACAATTTCTCAATTTTGTTTGGTCCCCATTATTTTCAAAATATATTTTTCTCTCTTTTTTTCAACTATACATTTTTTTAATAAAATAATATTGATCCGTAACCTATAGCATTATTAGTAGAGCTAGTGACAGATTCTTTAGCACTTGCACCTTCATTATGGATTAACTAATACAAGTAGCAGCTTCAGTAGCTTATTCAGGGTTTCTTACTTCAATATTTTTCGATTAAGACATGTGGGTTGGTTCATTTTGTCCTTCCTTTGCAAATTTCTATCTTCGTTGTGATCATGTTGCGCAAAATGTAGTTGTATAGGATTGAGTATAACAGGGGCATTCTCCCTTTCCATTTAAGAGCAAGCAACCTTCCCCCACGATTCTGGCCTATTATTGATAGGGATTTGACCGATGCTAAGGTAGCTTGCTTACCAAGCTACCCACTTTGAGAAGCTAGTAGCCAGAAAGAAGCGATGACAACCCCCGGACCTTTTTTTATCACAAATGGGGAGGAGTAAATATAAACTTGAATTGTGAAGTTATATTACCTTGCAAAGGTTTGACTCTTTGGTATTTATAGAGAGAAAGTTGGAAGGAGTGCTGTTAGATGCAGGACATGCGGATTCATCAATCGGTTCAAGGCATCTACTCATAGATGCTCATCAATCATTTCCTAGGTGGGGCGACATTTAATGTTTCTGACTTGGAGTTGACACATGTCATAGAGATGTTACATCTATCATTCCAAAATATTTCTTGGACAGATCCTTGCCCAAAAGATTTGTGTCTTGGGTCGTAGCACAGGCTAGGACTGTACATGCTGCCTTGTACCACTTAGAAACAGTTATCGCTTCAACTGTATCGGCTCGAACCTACACGTATCGCGTTAGCACCACTTCAAAATAACCACCGCTTCAAAAAATGTGCTTCGACATTTCTTGATATTACGTGCTTTGGCACGTTGCAGTGTGGAGGTGTTTCACTGAGGAGCATAACAGCTGTCTACGAAGCAAAGGTTCTCCCCTTTTAGTTGTAATTCTCAACACCCAAATTCAAAGTTTTTTTTTCCAATTTTCCATTAAACTACTATTCTGAAATGCATTTTGAGGAAAAAAAAACAAAAAAGAAGAAGAAGTGCAAGTGGGTTCTTAGCCTTTGTTTGGTATACATTATTTCTAAAATAAATTTTTCTCTCTTATTCTTAACCACATGTTATTTGATAAATTAATATTACATGTAAACTAATTTTTTCTTCCACTACAAATTTTCATCAAACCACTATTTTCAAATATATTTTTGACAAAAGTGGAGTTCAAATAGGCTCTTAGCCCCTAATTGAGCCCCATTCTTTCCACAAAATACATTTTTAAACAGTATTTTGACATCATTTCAACCACACATTTTTAATATAATAATATTAAACGTAAATTCAAATTTTTTTCTTATTTTTAACCATACATTTTTCATCAATACATTATTCCAAGTTTCATTTTCCCCCAAAATGGGGCTCAAACTAGGGCTTAATATGCATCAAAGTGTCCATCTTGAAGCATTGAAAAAATCCTAAGAATTTGCTCAACTTTCCAAATTTTTAAATGGTAATTGAAAGGTCAATCAATCACGTTCAAGGGAAATATCAATCATTCATTTGCAATGACATGAAAAGTCATTCATTTCAATTTCCACTTTTATTTACACAAGTTTCATTTTGAAATTTTCGATAATTACATCCACATCCTCGTTTTTTAAAAGTTATCTAAACTTCTCCCGTTAGAATAATTTTGTCATTTAATTATTTTCTTCTATGCTAAATATGAAATGTATATTTTTAATAATAATTATATTAATGTAATTACTCTTCAAATTTAAAGAGGTTGATCCAAATTTTGACATGTGGAGAAATGAAAGAAGAGACAACTTTGATTCATATTCTTGTAGTTCTTTATTATTTTTTTTGTATTATTATAATAAATTTAAACTTTCTAATATTGATGAAATTTTAGGATTGTTGTGCTAGGGTATCACTGATATGCAAGGACAGTTCAAAATTATTTTTGTAGAGTTGTAATTTATTAGTATATTAACAAACAACATATAAATTATTAAGAATAATGCTTGCATGACATTTCTCCTATGTGGAGACGAATATGTGCATTGATGAAATAAGTGGAGGTAAAATCATGGTGTAGATCATGTCACATGGGAGAGTGTAACTCATAATATAATCTACAATATACCTGCAGTAGCTTTGCCATCTATAGGGTTTTAAGAAAAAATGTACTTTGAATACCACTTATAGGGTTTTAAGGAAAAATGTACTTTGAATAGTGATTTTTTTAAAAATGTGTATTTAAAAGATAAGAAAAATTTTAGGTTTGCCTATAATATTATTTTATGGAAAAATGTGGTTGAAAATGAATTTTGAAAAAATATATTTTAGAAATAATGGAATCCAAACATGGGCTAATTCTATCATACATTTATATAAATATGGGATAAAAGAGCATTATGTAACGAATTGTAGGGCACCTACAAAGAATAATATATGTGAATTCAACAAGAATCTAATGAAAATTGATTGAAGTAAGTAATTAGGAGAATACTAACAAGATAACAAAGGTTATAATTGTTGGGTTGTGTATCCATATAGTATATATTACTATGATAAAATAATAATTTATAATAAATAAATTATGTTTTATTTATTTATTGCATTTATTTATATTCAGCATGCGAATTAAAGTCTCCATAATCACTTTTGATAATATAAGTTAGGTACTTATATTGAGAAGTATAATGTGATACTACTTATATTTGGATCATAATTTGTTCAAAATCAATGTATAAGGGTTAACACATTGTACTGGAAGGTTATAATATTGATCGATTTACTATTCAGGTTTGAGATT